TAGGCCAAAAGCAAGAGGAGAGCAGGTGGGGGTCAATTGGGAGAATAGGGTTGCATGTTCAAGGTCATAAAGGTTGGATCTAATGATTTGATATGCTGAGTTGAGCTTCATGTCGGCGAGAGTTTCGACAGAGAGAGATAATGACAATAGTTTGGCTTCTATGAAGTGAAATCACGTAGAAGTGTAGGGGTCCTTTAATAAATCTTGTAGGATCGAGTCAGAGGGGGTTAGGAGGAGAGTTCTGAGCCAGAACTTGAAGGTGGTGGTCCAGGCTAGGGTAGAGGGTAAGTGGATACCCAGTTCTAGAGTAATGGTGGAAAGTCTGATAAGATTAGGGATCCCGAGGATTTTCCTAAGAAAGGAGGCAGGCACCTTATCGATTTCAGAGTTTGCTGCCTCGATCCAAATTGGGACTCCATAAAGTAACTGGGAAATTGTCTTGGAGTATAAAATTTTGGTGGCAGCAGGTACATACTGATTACCAGAATGAAAGTGAAAACGGGAAATTGCACTGAGGGAGAGAGAGGAAGAAGCGATTGCGGAGGTGCGGTGTGGGCTCCATGAGTGCCGAAAGTGGAAAAGAATCCCCAAGTATCTGAAGGTCTGGACCTGTTGGTATGTGGAGTTACCAATTCTCCAGGGAGACGGGGCCCAGGATTTGCCAAAGGGAGTCTGGCACCAACACCTGCCCTCCTAAAGAGGCTGCAGGGTACCAGTGATTCAGTAGGACTCAACAAGAAAGACATCTGCTTTAAAAATCCTGCCCTCTATATCAAGCAGCTGGGTCTGAGAGTTGTCATATCCATCCATGCCCTGAAGGCAAACACCCTGGAGCATTTTTGGAAATATAAATGATAATTAAAGGTAAATTGGAGTGCTGCTGTCACAGGTAAGCTGAGGAGGTCCACCAGCAATCTTTTTAAAGCCTGGAGCTAAGGGTCCTTTGCAGCCTCGAACCAGCACCATGTATAATTGCAGTGAATTAGGCTAGTTAAATTCTCCATTTTAGGTTATATTTTGTGCCTTGCCTTCATTACAACAGTCTAAGTGGTTGGGTAATTTGGATGAAGTTGTTTTTGCACTTTAACCAACAAAACTATTTTGTTGTTTTTTATTTCTAACAGGGATACATACAGTGACAGAAGTGGAAGTAGTTCTCCAGACTCTGAGATCACAGAACTGAAGTTTACTGCCATGAATCATGAGTAATGATAATGTCTGCTTTTCATGTTCTGTATTTTTAAATTCTCTCTTCTTTATTTTCTCAACCCTAACTGTTCAGTTGGGGCAGATTTTTTCTTAATTGGAAAAGAATTGTCAGGACCTGAGAGTCCTTCTAGACTGGAATTGGTATGTGTAGTGAGGGCATTTTGCGCTACTACAGACAAATGTAATAATATAATAATCTTAGAACTGTAGAGCTGGAAGGGACCCTATGGATCATCAGTTCCAGCTCCTGTCAAGGAGGCACTGTAGGGAATTGAACTCCTAACCTCTGGCTCTGCAGTCAGGTGCACCACACTAGGCAGCTCAAGTTACTACAGTATGTACTACTATTTTTCACTGCTATGAGGCAGACAAGTTGGATCTCAGAAGAAAGTCTATTTTGTTAAGGAACTGCTGAGCAAAGTAGACTTTCTCCTGAGATGTACTGTTTGGATCACACTTGTTTGCCTCATAGAAGTGAAAAATAGTAGCGCATTTTGTAGTAACTGGAGATGGAGGTATATACGAATATATACGAATATGAATGTCCCTGCACAGGTGGCATTAATGAGGGTCCAGCCCCATGGGGCTGGACAGTCTACTCAGCGATCCAACACGGATGCAGTCTGTGTGATTCTGCCAGTGACTCCGCAGCATGCCATCTGCTCACCACTCCTGACAGGAGGCAAGAGGACAAGCGTCGCTGCAAGGTTGAAGAGTGGTGAGTGGATTGCGCTTTGCAGAGCCATTGGTAGACTTGCAATGGATTGGTGAGTGGACCATTCAGCCCCATGGGGCTGGACGCTCGTTAACACCACCTGTGTGGTGATACACGTATACGAATACCCTCATCTCTAGTAGTAACTTGAGCAGCCTAGTGTGGTGGTGTGAGTAGAGTGTTAGATTAGGACTAAGAGATTCAAATTGCTGTTCAGCTATGAAGCTTGTTGAGTATCTTGATCCAGATTACTAATCTTTTAGCCCAAACTGGCCTACAGTGAAAGGGAATGGATTGAGGAGAAAATAATATATGCTACCAGAAAGTGCTTGGAGGGAAGGTAGGTTGTAAGTGCATTGAAAAGATGGTTGGTGATAAATAATCTCTCTTGTTTCTGCACTCCCTTTCCAGATATGTATCATCCTCAGAAGATCCCATGTAGGACACAATAATAGGACTGTTAGAATATTTTAAATGTCATTATTTTATTTTGAGAAATCCTGTCACTGTTCTGTTTTCCTTCCAATCTTTTTTTAAATATAGTTTTAGAAACTGATCCTAGTGCCTCTCCAAGTGCATTTGTGAATTTAGAATGAAGATCTTTGGAAGTCAGGCAAGGGCTAGGGTGGATTCTGGATTACTATTGAAATGCCATTATAACATCTCATACACATTGCCCAGAAGACTATCTCTGTTTAGACTTTCATTTTGAGAGGTTTCCAATTATGTTATCCTCTCTTAATATGTTGTGGAATAGAAGCTTCTCAAAGCAGAATAAATTAATTTTTGTAACTCTTTTAAATAAAGTGATGTTTTTGGTGCCTCAAGACCACTGCTGAACTATTTCAGAAATACTATTTTCCTGTTCATGAAACTTTAGGATATTTAATTGACTATGCATCTAAGCAAGAGTGTTTAACTGTAAGTATATAACATTTATTGTATTTTTGAAACTCAAGTGAGGGGTTTGGGGTTTGTTTTTTTAAAAGTCCTGCTTCTTGGACTGAAATAACTCCTTGCATCAAGGGGATCATACATACAAGCAAATAACTTTACATTAGATGTCTTTTGCAACTCTCACTGAGATATCTGCCTTGGGTTAGAACCACTGTGTTCCTGTAGAATATACCTGATGTGCAAGCACAGTTCAGTTATTAAAATTTGGAGAAAGCAACCTGTATTTCTGTGTGAGTCATATGTCAAACTTGAGTACTGTTCTTTCATAGGATCTACTATTCAGTTTTGAGTGGCGTTTCTAGCTGATTGTATCTCAGCATTTCTGTAGTCTGGTGTTTCATGCCTGAGATAGGAAACCAACAGACCCTTCAATTAGCATTGACTATTTCTTTCAAGTATCCAGTATGGTAGTTGGCTTTTCCATTTTACAAGTTCTCACATTTAGCAGTGCCATTACATTGCTTCCGAGTGCTGAATATTTGGTGTACTGAGCCAGGTCTCTGAAATCTGGGAGTTGATCATTAAGACACATGGGTTTTAAGTAATTCTTGTTGAATGTACTTAAGAGTAGCTAAACATTTAAAAACAAATCCTGTGCAAACGTGTGGTGTTATTTCCTCTACTTTGAAACATTAGAATATTAATTGATACCCTCCTCTCTTCTTCTGTTCTTTCTGCCTAACCTGTTTTCACAAGCAAGCCTGTAGCATTTGTATATGTTCTCTCCCCTTAGCACACCTAAGACTCTTCTTGTCTCCAGGGTTAGAATTAGATCTTCTAAATTTTCTCCTCTGATTTCCTCCAGCCCCTCCTTTGGTAGGCATACATCATCCATCACTCTCACATTTCCTTGTTCATTATTCCCTGTCTCCTGTTGAATATAGTCCTTCCTTAACTGCTCATTGAATGATTTCACATCTCCATTGTGGGATCTCACTATTTCTAAAATTGCTTGAAGAGCAGATTTTGTTTCATCCCCAAAAATTTCCTTGTTGTAACATTATGTCCCAAGATGTCAAATAATTGTATTCCAAGTGAAAGATGTCCAGTGGCTTAAAGTAATCAGTCCAGTTCCATCAATAATTGCTTCAATAAGTCCATTTTAATAGAGTGGTTATCTTTAGGGTTAAATTTGAATTGAATCTCAGATGTAAATTGACAGTCCAGTTCACTCAATGTTTGTATTCATGGCCTAATGTCTTTTGTAATCCAGCCCAGGAAGCAGTCCATTCCAGTATTAATTCTATCTTGGCCTGTGTTCCAGTCAGGTTCAGAACCTAGGATACATCCAGATATTTTTATTGGTCCACATATGTCCACATTAGCCAGATATATATTCCAAGATGAATTGTCTTTGTTCAGATCTCAGCAAAGTAGTTTAAAAATTCCACTTTACTAGGACTAGATTTTCCAGGGTTAATTTGTCTATGCTTCAGTTAGTTCTCAGAAAAAAAGGGAAGTCAAAACAATTTCTAAGCTTAAAACCGCCATAGAATGTTCAAGGTCATTGTTCTGGGCTTTTTGCCAATGCGATAGATAGCCATAACAAATTTAATTCCGAGTTGTTTAGCTAATAATGATTTTAAGAGAAAAATTTCTTAAATTTCTAATACCAGACTTCCTTCCTTGAAGTATAATTAAATGTCTAATTAGTGTCCAATTTATTTATTTTTTGTGTCGCTTTGCATCTCCTTCCCTCTGTCCAGATTCACCGCTGCTCTAAAAGTGGTGGGAATAAGAGACGCTTATTTCTGTTATAGGGATTAACTCGTCCAGGGATAGTCATAAAGCAGTATAGTTATAAAATATTATTTCACCCAGAGGTAATGATGATGTTAATTAGCTGATTTATTGCTTCTCTATTGCTGGCTGCCGACGACTTGCAAGCAAGCTATTCAGTTGCTTGTCTCCACCCACTGGTTGATTGGGGAGTTTCCCAGATCAAAACGGGGATAACCGCAATTTCCCCTCCCCCCATGATCAACAGGCTTCTCCCCCAATTCACCACCTCTTCAGGGTGGTTTTAACCCCCTAGGGGGTTTCAAACAGTTCAGAATTCAGCCCAGGAGACAGAGCTCCATCCTCCTCCTGCTGTCCCGTTGCAGCATCAAGCTGGAAGTCCTTATTGCCATTCTTTTATGGACCCTGCAAAACACTGACTCATTTAATCTAATTAACAATCCCTCTGCAAAAACCCAGTCAGTAGCATAACTCCAATTTGTCTGTGAGATTGAGCATTCTTATGTGTAGTACTTACCTGTCACTCCCAGCATACTATGAGGCGTTTAGGAACATGTTCCTGATATAGCTCATGTAACACAGGGAAACAAGTACCTCGGTCTATTTAGAGTTGCTCATGTACATCCATTACAGATGAGAACAACTTACCCAAATATATAACATCCCTGAAGTCCATGGAAAACCATTCTTCATATCTAGTGCTGAGGCAGAATGTATTGAAAGAGTTGAAGGATTTGGACCCTGAATATTGTTACAGAATTCTTGATTTAGGGCTAACATGCCAACCTTCAAAATAGCAAGAAACCTATAAGACCCATGCTCTTTATTGGGCCTATTTTTACTTTGTAGAAGCATGTGTTTGTTTCCAATGTCAAGTGGCAGTGTTACTGAGCTATCACATGAGGACACAACATCTAGATCTGGTATTTTCCTGTATTTGTTGCTGCAGGTTTTCCTTCTCCTCTAGCAAGCTCTGTATTTTCAATTCCAGCTTCTTTGTTTCATCTGTCCATTTCTGGGGATATACAAAATGAAAGTCATTCCATTTCATGGAGCTATAGCGTCCAAATTACTGCTTCTTTCTCTAAGCATATCTTTGTTGGCAGATATTGCTAGACGAGTTCATAGAGTTGAAGCAAGAATCATCGTCTCATTCAGATATAGTTGGTTTGTTTTAATCACTATGGCATTACTATGTGTGTTGTATGCATTATCAGATAAGGGAGGAGGACAAACAAATACTGATTTACTTCAACTGCTAGGGTTGCCACAGCAATCAGCCCTCCACCCTTGAGATTTAGTTAATCAGTACCAAATGCATAGTCCAGTCAACAATGAACTAAATAAGCAGGAGGTTGTGCAGAAGAGTTTTGGAACACTATACAGTGGTGCCTCGCAAGACGAATGCCTCGTGGGATGAAAAACCCATAAGATGATTGGTTTCTGCTATCACTATAGTGCCTCGCAAGACAGTTTCTTCTATGGCTATGTTTTGCAAGACTTTTTTTTCCCCCGAGGCCAATGCCTCGCAAGACGAATAAATTTCAAGACGCTTTTTCGCAGGACAGCGCTTCTCGCAGAGCGAATTACATTCATCTTGTGAGGCACCACTGTACCTTACGAAATGCATAGCTGGATTTTTTTCAACAAGGGGCCTCAGATCAACAATGGTAGCCAATGAGAAAGCATTAGGTATTTTAGTGTTCAGTGTTAGTTTTAGTGTTCATATAGTTCTGTAGAAACTCCAGTATTTTCTGGCAATCACAGTGGATATGCCACTCTGACTGAACTGCACTAAGCTGAATATTTTCAGCTTCAACGAATTTGAGCAATAAAAACATTTTAGGTCTTATTTTGGGTTAGAATCCTGTTGGCAAATATGGAACAGAATGGTTCTACAGACTGAGTATTTCACATTTGCCCAGAGCTTGCCCCTTTGATAACAGTAGGGATGTCCACCTTTGGAAGGGGTTGTTGGACTTTTCTTGTACATACATGGGAAGGACAAATCATGCACAGAACCTAACATTCTGGCTGCAATTTCTCAGCAATTTGGTTTTCAGGAGACAGCCTTACTGAAAATATTTAATCTTAACAATTTATTGACACAAAAGTAAGGTTTCTGAATTAAGCCAGTTAGGTAGTTGTGAGTCAAACTGCTGTGAAACAGATGACCATACATGTTTGAAAGAGCTTTTCAACTTAATTTCATTGTTGCAGGTGGAAGTTATGTTGCTGTCTCCTAATGTTGAACTAGCACCTATATACTTGTGTAAAGTAGTACAAAAATTACCTGTCGGCACCATTCTTGAATAGCACTCCCTGTGAGTGGGCCCTGAATGCTGCCATCTCGTCGTAGGTATATTTCCCCTTGATCTGTTTCATAAAGAAGAGGTTCTCCATACTGTTTGGAAGGATGGACGCTTAACCGGATAACTTTCAGGAAGATGCCAGTGTCTTCAGCTTTGATAACTGGAATGAAACTCAGTGTGTATGCTGCTGGGAAAACCTGAGGTTTGAAGCCTTTCAAAAGAGAGTCTATGAGTAGGCGGACTCTATCTTCATCTTTGTGGTCACACCTGATTCCACATACTAAGCCATTATCGTCAACCCCCACAAAAAGGCTGCCTCCTTCACTATTAAGGAAAGCACACATATACTTCCGCACATGATGCTTTAGGGTGACTGTCAGATAATCACCACCACCACGCTTAAATTCCACATTCCGGGTCTCACTACCCAAGAAAGCTCCATGGAACAGGCATTCCTTCTTTATGATATCTTTTTGGAGAATAGCACTGTCTGAACATGTGCCACTCAGGAATCTCACTGGCTGATCTACCAGTCTGCAGGAGTACTGAGCAGATTTTCTGATGGGGTGAGTCTGAGTTTCCTTTTGCAGCCATTTCCTGCTTTTCTCATGCACTTGTTGGTCTCCCAGAGGAGACTCTGAGCTGCTCCCAACAGAATCACTCTGCAGACATGATAAAGCGAAACCACACAAGAGGGTACAATATGTGATTCAAGGGCAAATGTCATTGAGACAACTTGCATTAAAATCTGCTTTGCATGGATGTACAGGTATTTTGAAAGGGATATAGTGTTACTGTGTCAGCTGCATATGTACATATATAACTTACTTCAGCAGTATTGGTTTCTACCATTTTGTTTTGATGCATATGAGGCACCACAGGAAGGAAATAATATAGCATCAACAACCTTTTGAGTTTTGTTCATTTGAAGATTGGCATTACCCATGTATCATGTAAAGTTAGTGGCAGATAATTTGAATTGGAAAAGTTTAAAATGGGATCACAATAGTGGAGAAAGAATTTCCCCTAGCTACTTTTCTAGAATAGCAAGTTCCTAAGGCATATGGAGCATGGTCCAAAAAATAGGAGGGTGATGGGGAATCTTGACTGGTCAGTTTTCATCTCAACTAGCACAGACCCAATAATATAAATTAGTATTAACGAGTTCTGTTTCTTTCAGTTAGATTTGCTCAGTGGTTTAGGTATTTGGCTGTGGAGCCTAAGGTTCAGAGATTCCCCTCTGTGTCTCCTTAACTCAGTCCATAGGGTCCCAATCAGCTCTGCAGTTCTAAATGATAGATTAAATAGATTTAGAAAGGACATTGGGATTGTGTATGATATACTCATTTTTTGTAGTGGAAATATTTCTAGGATTGCTAGAATTATTTATTTGCTCTGGTAAGCTGCTTAGTTGAACAGGCTTAATTGAGATTCAGGGGCCTCATACAATATAGGGGCAACTTAGACCAGCCAGTCTGGTACCAAAGTTGATGGAAATGAATTATATATAAAACCAACAGGATGATGGAGACAGTTTGCAACATTTGGTAATAAAACAGGACATTTCAGTCAGAAGAACACAATACCCAGGGAACCACAATTGCGAACAAGTATATCAGTTACGGGACGGGGGGCAATGCCTCCTCCAACTGCAAAAAATATTTCTTTTTTTTTTCTGTAGTGGTGGATAGGATGGGTAAATCCCCAAAAAGGATCTCAGGATTACACAACTTGTTGAAGAATCCAATTTTGAATGTTGAGCCCATATCAAAGTGATGCTCTGGGCAAGATGTAGCTATCAAACGTACGTTTAACAAATGCAAAAACAAAGTGGTGTCTCTACTTATGTCCAACAGTGGACCACTAAAGGCTGCAAACATGGCCACACTACTAGAATAGTGACACCAGTGACACCACCAGGTATGAATTTTCCATACCAGAAATGTTACTAAACATTGCAGTACAAGCCTTGATGCAGCTTGCCAAAATTGATTTTGACAACTGCCATCTCCTACACTGCCACGTTTTAAACAGATAATTTTTTTCTTGTCATGTTTCTTTACTGTCCTGCTTTCACATCCATACATGCTGACTGGAAAATATAAGAGCATGGATTTTCTGATCTCGGTCCTTGTGGGAAACTTCTGTTTAAGGTTGTAGCTGCATTCTGTTTCAGTGATGTGCACACACTCCTGGCAGGAAGTGGCAGCTGCCAATGGGTGGGATAACCGCTCATTCTGCCTTTTGCTTAGAGCTAGAACATAAAGCATAAGATAAGATCAAAGCATAAGATCATAAGATCAAAAAGTTTCTTCAGCCAATCCTGGTTACGATTAGGTAACTAGTATCCTATCTGAATTCTCACAACATACTATATAACTCTTGCTAAGTTAATAAAAAGAGTTCTCAGGGCATTGCTTTGAGGCTCCGCTGGCTCGGACATCTGTGGTTGACTTTCCTTTGTACTTTCTCTAAGGCAATTAGCCTTCCTTTGTTCCATGATCACCCACAGGTCCTTGCTTCCAATGACACATCCTTAGCTTTACACATCAACAGAAGTCCAATGTCTAAATCAAGGGAAGTACAGTAATAATAATACTGTATTCTGCATTGGCCAGACCCCACCTGTATGCAAGGACCACAGTGTAAGAATGGATATCATAACGTTTGAAAGCCAAGCCTTACAAGAAGCAGTTGAGAGATCTGGGCATGTTCTATCTGAAGAACAGAAGAATGAGAAGCAATAAGATAGCCATCTTATTGTCCCTTCAGCACTGCCTGGGGACCGTATTGCAATGGACGCAGGAAAATGGACTGAGGTTGAACCCGGACAAGACGGAGGTTCTGAGGATGGGTGCCCCTGTGGTCAGCGGTCTGGGTGACTCTCATTTGGGGGGGATGACCTTGGCCGCTAAGAGTGGTGTTCACAGCTTGGGGATCCATCTGGACCCAGCGCTCACCATGGAAACGCAGGTGGCGTCGGTAGTCCGTACCACCTTTTTCTATCTCTGGCAGATTGCCCAGCTGCGGCCCTACCTTGATATGGGGGCACTCACCATCTTGATGCATGCGCTCGTAATCTCAAGATTAGACCACTGTAATGCACTCTATGTGGGGCTCCCTTTGAGGCTGATGCGGAAACTTCAGGTGGTGCAGAACACAGCGGCCAGACTCCTTAGAGGAGTGAGAAAATACCAACATATTTCTCCTACTCTGGCCGCATTGCATTGGCTGCCCATCTGTTTCTGCATCGACTTCAAAGTTTTAATGCTTACTTACAAGGCCCTAAATGGTTTAGGACCTCGATATTCGGTGGAACGCCTACTCCCACCAAGCTCTACCCGGATCACCCGTGCAAGTCAGGAGGTGAGGTTGAGGGGGCTGACGCCCAGAGAGGTTCAGAAGGAAAAGACACGAAATTGGGCCTTCTCGGTGGTGGCTCCTCGCGTCTGGAACAAACTCCCTCTGGAGATTTGCTCAGCCCCTATGCTGGGTATCTTTAAAAGCCAAGTAAAAACATGGGTGTTTATTCAGGCCTTCCCTCCAGTCAATACTTGATTCTCTCTTCTCATTTCTCCTTTATTTTTACTCTATTTTCTTGGTTTCCACATTTTCATTTGTAGATTTATGTAACTATGTGTTTTTATTAATTGTATTATATTGGAAGCCGCTCAGAATGGTCACATAGACCAGACGGGCGGGTACAAATCAAATCAAATCAAATAAATAAATAAATAAATCTTCAAATATCTGAAGAGCTGTCACTTTGAAGATGATGTGAGCTTCTTTTCTGTTGCTCTGGATGGTAGAACCTAAAGTAATGGATTTAAATTTTTAGGCAAGGAGTTTTCAACTCAACACTAGAACCTCCTAACAATAATAGGATGATTGAATGGACTGACTCAGAAGGTGGTGGATTCTTAAACATTGGAGGTGTATACACAGCTGAATTCGGCTGAGAGGAATGCAAAAAATGCTCTAAAGGTCTAGAATGTTGCGCCCAAAGGAAATCATCTATGGTGGAAATAAGATTCTGTAATTGGGCTGAGGACCTTGGCTGGTTGTTGACTTAGGGGATGGCCAATTGTTTCTTCATTGTCTTGTAGAAGCCATGTTCAATGAGGTAATTCATTATAAGCCTGAGATGCTGAAATATTGAAGACCAAGTGGAATTCCTTGTGATTCACTGGGACACGTTTAACACCTATATACATGTTATGTCCATACAGGTGTATGAAAAAGATCTGATAATAGATTCTCTTGATTTGGGTAAACACATTTGTGTGGTATATGTAGGTGAGCTCGTGGCGCAGTGGTTAAAACGCTGTACTGCAGCTAAAACTGTGCTCACGACCTGGGGTTCAAATCCCAGGTAGCCGGCTCAAGGTTGACTCAGCCTTCCATCCTTCCGAGGTCGGTAAAATGAGTACCCAGCTTGCTGGGGGGGGCAATGTGTAGCCTTTATAATTAAAATTGTAAACCGCCCGGAGAGTGCTTGTAGCGCTATGGGGCGGTATATAAGTCCAATAAATAAATAAATAAATAAAATACTAAGGTAAGTCTTAGCCTTGAAAACTGAGTGAGGAAGAAATGCGAAATAACCCCAATAGACAATGTCTATGGGCCAGATGTTTTGGAGTGTGTAAATAGGTTATTATGGTGAGCAACCTTGGCACGGACCAATCTTCTGCCTCTGAGACCATCTGAGAGACTGTACAGACTCCTCACAGTGCAAAAAGTGGAAATGACTGGGCATTCACTCCCAGGTTTATTTTTAAATTGTATTTAAGGCTGTTAACTAGTGCAGGAAGACCTTGAGATTTATACAAAGGGTGACTTGGTACTACTGTATATCAGGCAAAGTCCAAAGAAACAAAACAAAACAAGGCAAAAAATGTGATACCTTAAGGACTAATTATTATATTTTAATGTGAGCTTTCATTGACAAGTCCACTTCATCAGACTTACTGGAAAAAATGAAATACTGGATGAAATACCAAATTCACAAGTAAAATGTTCATTGGCTCTAAGAGTCTTGGATGTGTGATTACATTCCACATGCAATAACCTACGGCCTGTGTTTGGTGTTCTGTTGTATACAATAGGTAAAGGTAAAGGTTCCCCTTGACAATTTTTGTCCAGTTGTGTTCGACTCTAGGGGGCAGTGCTCATCCCTGTTTCCAAGCCATAGAGCCAGTGTTTTGTCCGAAGACAATCTTTTCCGTGGTCACATGGCCAGTGCGACTTAGACACGGAACACTGTTCCCTTCCCACCGAGGTGGTCCCTATTTATCTACTTGCATTTGCATGCTTTCGAACCGCTAGGTCGGCGGGAGCTGGGACAAGCGACGGGCGCTCATTCCGTCACATGGATTCGATCTTACAACTGCCGGTCTTCTGACCCTGCAGCACAGGCTTCTGCGATTTAGCCCGCGGTGCCACCACAATACATTGTAATTTATTGTATTGTATTTATTCTCACTGCACAGTATATTTGATTTACTCCCCAATTGTATTGATATTGTATTATTTTGTCATTCTGTTGTTTTTCTGTTGTAAACCACCCAGAGTGGCCCTGGCTGCCATACACACACACACACATTGCTATAAGAGACAGAAAACAGATAACCATGCAAGAGCAACAAGGAGTGTGGTGGTGGTGAAGACTAGCAGAGGAACCATGTATGTTAATATAGAGAATATTAACAGTTTTTACCTTTGAGCTTTGTAATGAAAGATGTACCTAGTAGTTGTGAAGAAATACTGATTTTCTTCTGCTTCCTCAGTGTTACTCAGGTAGAGCTCTCAAGGCCTACAGCAACTTCTTTTTTGTGCTTTGTCTTTCCTTCTTTTTGTGTTTTTTAAAATTGAAGGACCCCCCACAGCAGGTTACACCCACTCCAGCAGGCTTACCTCTCTGCCATCTTTGTTTCCAAATGCAAACTTCTTGCCAGGTCCTACAACTAAACTTTTTCCTTTTTTCACAAGTTTCTTGGTGAGGTCTTCCTCTCCATCTGAGGCAATCAGCAGGCATTTCAGAACACATTCCAGACTGGTCTCTGTTGCCAGCTGGACAAAGGCATGGGCCTGTCTGCGTTTCCTTATAACTTCGATGTTGTGTCTCTGAAGTGTGACGTTCGCCATTCCAAATATGTCCTTCAACATGCTGCAGAGAACATCAGAGGAATATTTGGGGTTCAGGTTCCCAATGTAGAGGACATAGGAACATGCCTGGCCAGAATGATCCTCCTCCTCTTCCTCCTGCTCCTTCACTTCATCTTTTGCTTCTGCTGAATCTGCCTGATTAGCAATTTGTACTGCAAATTCTGCTTTGACCTCTGTAGCTGCTGTCATTTCCATTCACAGACCTCAAAGATAGTCAAAATATTTTAGAAGCAGGACTGGGATTTGATATTATTCCTTGTTGGGTTATTGCTGAAAGAGTACAAAAGGGCAGATTGTATAATTCATTGTACATTGAGGGTTTTTTCTTTAGTAATGCATGATGAGCTGGTATTTCTTTATTCTAGGGAGGAGTCAGAAACAGAGAACTGCCCTTATAGGAGCTGATGAGGCTACAGTATGGTGGCAAAGCCTGTGCAGAAAAAGTTAGCAAGAAACCTGAATTGTGAAGTTCTGGCAATTTTATTTATTTGATTTATATGCTGCCCATCTGACTAATTGTGGGATTTATGGTGAGGATAATGATTTGCCCCACTATTGTGGGACTGCTTAATGGCCATCTCTCTTATATTTAATAGCACAGACCCTATGGCTTTTTTTGTGGCCCTTTAGAATTTCAAGCTTTATATTTGCTCAAAACAAGACTCATGTATCCAGGGGATATGAGTCTCCTCTAAAGAGATGTCTCCCACTTTTTAAATGTAAAGATCCCTTCCATTTTCTTCAGATAAGTATTTTTCATCTTTACTACAGCATCATAGAAGAATGTTAACCTTACTATGGATGAGCAAAAGTCTTGCTGGACTTGATAAAGGTTCACATAATCTAGTATTCTTTTCACCCCTTTTACTGATGATTGGAAACAGTGAACTCTTGCTCCTTCACCAACAGCTCTTTCCTGGGTGACCACTGTCTATGGAGCCCTTGGCAGCACATATGTCATGTTCTCCTACAGTATGTGTAGCTTTGTACATATTTTGTCTCACATGAGAGGCATGTACATACAATTTTCTTTTTCAAACTAGAGGTCTAATGTAAAAAAATACACTCATAATTAAAGAATATTGAGCTTGAGAAGGGGCTTTGATAAACAATTCAATTGTGCAAATTTCCCTGAGATTCAGTGGTACATCTCAGTCTGCTGGCCATCCAAGTTCTACAGAGTCGCTCCCATGTCAAGGTGCATAATGGTAAGTGAGGTCCAGTTCCAGAACCTCCACGCTCTGAAAATTAAATAGTTAAATAAACCTTAGCCAGATTTAATGTGTTGCCTTCTAATCTTTTGGAAGGGAGATTTCAAGGCATACCCTATTTTGATTGTTTGTCCTTACGATGGTGATGAAATAGAAACAGGGGACATGACCTCTTATGTTGTCATTTCTATCGAGATCTCTGCAAGAATCTTTGCTATTTTTAAAAAAATTCCAGGAAGATCCAATGAATTTTATATTCTTTTGTTGCTCTCCAATGCAATTTCTTACATTACTAATAAAGTGACCAAATACTGCACTGCCACAGTAGCTTGCCACAGTCTCCTGATGGCACAAGGTCTTCGAGTGCCTCTGCCCTGGTTAGAGATTTCTTGTTTAACTTACTTTCTAGGAGAGTTAGGTGTCATACTGATGGTTATATATGCCCCCTAATTTCATCCTATACCATGTGATTGCTTTGATGTTTTAAAAGCTTTTATATATGCTACTGGCTAACTTAAAACATCTTTTTAATTTTAATGTCATAAAACAGCCAGATGATGCATGTCTTGACCAATGTCTCTGATACATGATTTTATCTAAATAATGTATTCTTATCTTCCTGGTCACTGACCATCCCCTGTAGCATCCTTCAGTCTTGAGAGACTATGGTATTGTGCTCTATATGGAGGACATGGAACAGCGTCTAGTGTGGCTGAGAAGGCCAATTCGAGAGTGACAATCTCTTCCACACTGAAGACAAATACAATCTGTCCCCTGTCTAGTTCCTGGTTTTGCTCATTTCGGGACTGCCTCTTTGCCTTGGCCTGCTGTACAAGTGTCTCTTCAAATTGGGAGAGGACATGATGCACCACCTGCCTCCAGGCTGAACACTCAGATGTCAAGGTTTCCCATCTGTTGAGGTCCATTCCTAAGACCTTCAGATCCCGCTTGCAGATGTCCTTGTATTGCAGCTGTGGTTTCCCTCTGGGGCGGATTCCCTGCACTAATTCTCCATACAGGAGATCTTTTGCAATCCGACCATCAGCCATTCTCACGACGTGCCAAAGCCAATGTAGACGGCGCTGTTTCAGTAAAAATTCCAGCTCGTTCTAGGACTACTCTGTTTGGAACTTTGTCCTGCCAGGTGATACCAAAAATCCATCGGAGACAACGCATATGGAAGGTGTTCAGCTTCCTCTCCTGCCGTGCACAAAGGGTCCGGGACTTGCTGCAGTACAGGAGTGTGCTCAGGACACAGGCTCTATAGAACTGGATTTTGGTTTATGCCGCCAGCTTCTTATTGAGCCATACTCTCTTTGTGAGTCTAGAGAACATGGTAGCTGCTTTCCCAATGCATCTATCCAGCTCGACATCTAGGGAGAGAGTGTCGGAGATCATTGAGCAAAGGTACACAAAGTCATGAACAACCTCCAATTCTTGCGTGGAGATAGTAATAGAGGGAGGTGAGTCCACACCCTGGCCCATGACTTGTGTTTTCTTCAGGCTGATTGTTAGTCCAAAGTCTTGGCAGGCCTTGCTGAAACGATTCATAAGTTGTTGGAGGTCTTCAGCAGAGTGGGCAACAATGGCTGCATCATCTGCGAAGAGGA